CATTTCTTCATGTGTCTGTTGGCCATCTAAATTCCTTCCTTTAAGAAAAGTGATCCTGTGTCTTTTGCTTTTAATAGGGAAGCATGTTGAATTTTATCAACTGTCTTTTCTATATCAATTGAGATGTTCATGTGGTCCTTTGTCTTGATGGTGTAATGGATTACCCTAATTGTTTGTCTAGTACTGAATCATCCTCCCATACTTGATATGAATCTAATTTGATCAGGATGAGTGACTTTTTTATGTGATGCTGAATACAGTTGATCAGGATTTTGTTGAGAATTTTTACATCTATGTTCATAAGGGATATAGGGCTATAATTTTCTTTTTTCAGTTGTGTCTTTGCACAGCTTAACCAGGCAAAGGGATAAGTAGTTGTGTCACAGAAAATTCAGAAGTATTTAATATTTTTTATATTCTGAAATAGTTTGAGTAGAATAGGTGTTAGCTATTTTCTAAATATAATTTGGTAGAATTCATCAAAGAAGCAGTCTGAGTCAGAACTTTTTTGGTTGGGAATGTTTGCGACCTGCTCAACTTTTTTGTAATAGATCTACTTGACTTTTCTGGTTTTGCCTGTATTAGTTTAGATAGGAAGTTTGTTTTTTAAAAAATGTCTTTTTTCTCTGTCATTGTTGTAATGTGCCATTGAGTCAACTAGGACTCATAATGACTTTATGCCTAATAGCTCTATCTTAAACCAATCTCACTGTCACTTAACCTCATTGCCCCAGTTATTGTGCCAATCTATCTCATCCAGAGTCTTTCTCTCCTGTGCTGTCTTTCCACCATTCTAAGCATGATATCATTCTCCAAAGATTTGTTCCTCCTGGCTACATGCACAAAGTATGTGATAGAGAGTCCAAAAATCCTTGCTTCCAAGGAGTAGCTTGGTTTCACTTTCTCCAGGAAAGACATGTTAGTTCTCTCAACAGTCCATGGTTTATTCAATACTCTTCTCCAACACCACAACTCAGAGACATCAATTATTCTTCCCTCATCCTTGGTCATTTTCCAGCTTTCTGAGGCATAGCAAGTAAGAGTATTTAGGTGGTTCTGAATTTATTGTGGTTTGTTTTGTAACTTAACACAGAGTCTATTCTATAGAACGTTCTGTGTGTACTGGAGAAGAATCTTGACTGTGTTCCTGTTTGGTGGAATGCTCTGTACATGTCTACGAGATCTAGTTAGCCCTTTGTATACTTCTTCTGTGTCTGCTGAGTTTTCCTCTATTCATTCTGTCCTTCATTGAAAGTTGCATATGGAAGACTCCTACTATTATCATGAAGGTGTCTATTTCTGCCTTTAAATCTGTTAAAGTTTACTTCCTGTTAAAGTTGTCTTCTTGTCAAACATTCTTCTAGATGGTATAGCACTGGTCTGTGCGTTGCTGTACGGAGGTAAATCGTGGTTGCTGTGATGCTGAAGACTGTGACAGTGATGTGCCAGTCGTGGTAATGGGTACCCATGGTGGACAGTGTTGGCTGGAGCTTCCTGACTAAATCAAGCCTGGAAGCAGGAGTGGCATCCACTTCCGAAATAGCTTGCCTCCGGAAACTCTATGTACGGACAGTGCTCAGGCTGTTTGTTCATAGGGTCGCTATGAGTCGTCTACGACTTGACAGCATCAAACAACAACAACACATCGTGTGGCTCTTTGTGTGCATAGATGTTTATAGCAATGTGCCCTTGTTCAATTGACAGTTTGATCATCATATAATGCCCTTCTTTGCCCATTATGCTAGTTTTATCTTGGAGTTTATTTTATTAGAATTAGTATTGTCACTCTTGCTCTTCTTTGATTGCCTTATTTTTCTACTCTTTGACTTTTTTAATCTATCTTTGACTTTGTGTCTAAGTTATGTCTCTTATAGATAGCACGTTGATGGGTCATGCTCATCCATTCCTTTGCTCTTTTTCTCTTGATTGGTACATTTCGTTTAGCCAAATTCAGTATAATTATCCATAGTTATGACTGTATTGGTGTCATTTTGCTGTGCTCCTTTTTTTTGTGTAGCATATTGAAATGTTTTTGCCTTGAGAGAAGCACATAAGTATTCCCCCCGCCCCCAGGGTGTTCTTGGTTGTTTAAATTTTAATGATGAGAGGTTTATTTATTATTATAATTTTAATGCCTGGAATTATTAATATTTCCTTTTTCATTTTGTTCATATTCAGAAACTCTCCATCTCTAGATTTAAATATTTAGATTTATGCTGTTTTTCTAAATATTTTTATATACTACTCTTTAATATGTATGATTTATTTTTCAGGAATTATATATAAATTTAATAATATGATTTTGTTTTTTAAAATAGACACTATGTTGTGATTTGAAAGCATGCACATCATAGTTTTGATAATGTACTCTTATTTATTAACATTTTTATAATTCATATACATTGTGCTTCAAGCATATTCATTGTGTTTTATACAGTCTTTCATTTCATTCTATTTCTTTCATTTATACTGTGGAAAATTTTTCCCTCTTGTGAATGGAGCAGATGCAACATGAGAGTGGCAGTGGCCAAGTCTGACTTCTAACTACTTCATAAAGGAGGACTATCCCCATTAATAATATCTATAGCAGCAAATAGTTGCATGGTCAGACATGCCACCCCACATACTTCTGCACCTATTTCCACTGATCATATGGGCTTGATATTCACTGTTGACTCACAAAATTTATTCCTAGTTATGGTACCAACAGTGGGATTTGCTGTGGAAATAAGTTAGACAGTGGAGGAGGCAAAGAATATCACCGAATGCAAATCCAAGTTTAGCCCAACAGTCCTAAAGCAGATTAACAGAAAACCAAACTTCCTAAATTAGTAAAAGTCCCAGTTCAGTTTAATAACACAAATCCAAATTATCCAGTAAGGTTTGCCTTAAAGCAGTTATAAATCAGCTTCTCTTTAAATCATCTGGCAAGCAGAATCTTTATCTGTGGCCAGTATAAATGCAGGTTACACCTTGCCACAGCCTTTCCACAGCAATGTCATAGTCTCTCCATAATCTCTCCACTACCACCATCATCACTAGTGTCTTGCTACCAGAGTCTCACTTTCACCAGGGTCTTGTTTTCACCAGAGCCTTGCTCCAGTCTCCCTCAAGTCTTGCTGCTCAGTGTGGGAAGTTCTCTCTCTCTTATCCTAATCCCACAGCTGTTGATGATTTGCAAGACCATGTGTCTGCATGGTAAGGTAGCTGGAGACAAGAGAAGGCTAATTACTGGTAAGAAAACTCAACTTTTAAAACAACAGCACATTCTTCTTCTTAATAACTATTTTTGTGAAAGTTTGTAAGCCATTTACTTCATGCCTCATGCCCTAATATCTCCCATTTAAATAGCCAAGTTTTCATTTGCTCATCCCTATCAAGCCAGGGGAGCTCTGGTGACCTAGTTATAAGAAGCTGCACTGTAGGGAGCTCTGATGGCCTAGTGGCAAGGAGCTGCAACTACAATCCCAGAGGCACATGGTTCAAATCCACCAGATGCTCTGCCGGGAAAAGGAGGGACAATCTCCTCCTGTACCAGTCAGATCTGATTTTTTTTTTAAAAGAAGCTGCACTGCAAGCTTCAAGACACACAGTTCGAATTCACCAGCAGCTCCATGGGAGAAGAATTGGCAGTCTTCTCCTGTGTGATTAACTGCCTTTGAAAACCCAGTGGATGGCCAGCTGTGGGCTAGTTCTGACTTGATGATACTCAGCAACAACAGTATGAAAGCAGTACTCTGAGGGAATAAGCACATCTTTTTTTAGTTTCAGTAATCTACCCTAGCTCACAGTGATCATTCTCTCCTCATGGGGTTGGGTTCTAGTCAACTCATCCTCAGCTAGCCATGGTTAAGTTCAAATGAGCATCAACTGAGAACTCGAGTCCACATTACTCCCTGCATTCCAGATCTGTTTCTTTCATCACTCAGTCCTACCCCTCACATGAGGCTAAGACAAGTGAATAAGCCAGGGACCCTCATAACTCCATGATCTTCAAGCTAACAACCATTCTCTGCTCATTCACACATGTTAGGTGCTAAGTACTAAAGGACTATGTCCAAGGTCAGCCTGTTTCTTTCTCCATTGTTGTATTCCTCCCACTTTTACTCCTATGGATTCACGCGATCGCTACGAGTTATTGTATTCCAACCTCAAGTCCTGGAAGTGGGCTCTGATAGGCACCAAGTTCCCTCTGCCCTCAGAAGCCACCTTACTTTTTCCAGCTTTAAAAAGACAATCTCTTTCTTTCCTTTCCCCCCTTTCTCTTGCTCTCCTTTCTTGCTTGCCCTTCTTTCAAATGTGAAACTTTTCATTTAAAAGTCTGATTCGAGTCCATTAATCCATGCAAATGTAAATCTCCTCAGGGTACCCACTGGGACTCAATATTTCCCCTCAACCAAGCCCAGACACCCACTACCAGATTCTACTTTTCACAAGCCTGTATCCTGGGCAGATTGTCCCTTTGGGTACTTCAAATCAAGAACTGGACAAAAGCGCTTTCTAAATGACATGCTTTCTAAATCTACAATATGGTAATGTACTCTTAAATTTAATCTGTTGTTTAATCTAGAAATTTAATCCAAGTTATAAAATGACCATGGAAACTACTCTAAAGCCTAGACTGTTTAAACAAGAGTAAGAGACAAACTTCTCTTATCCTCAATAGTACATAGTTAGTATTCTATCATCTTGGTCACAAAATAGTGGGAGTTTGTATCCTTTTTTTATGGCCTGAGTTTATGATTTCTGAATTGTTCTATTCTCAAGCAAGAGGTTTATTTTTACTGTGTTAGAATATAGCATTGAAGTTCTGGGAATTAACACAGTTCCGCTGCCACTTGAGTCAATAATTCACCCAGAACATGGTGGTTATTCAACAACATGATTAAATGATTTGCTGCTACTCACAGACTCATTGTCCTTTTCATTATACATTACAGTAAAGCCTCTTTCAAGGTTGTATTATATGTGTTATATGTGCCATTTTTGTTTGCTTGCAGGGGAGTTGAAAAACCCAACTAAAAACATACCTAAATGTGTTGTTACTTCACTTACCATTGTGTCACTGATCTACTTATTGGTTAACATTTCCTACCTAGCCGTGTTGACACCAGAGGAAATCGTGTTCTCAGGTATGGATATATGGAACCAGAGGGGGAAATACTCTCTTTCCTATCCCTCTGACTAAAGGAGGTATTTTATATATTGTAGGGGAGATCTGACAGTATAGTTCATAGATAGTTGTGCTGTTAACTCAAAGGTGGTATCTCTCCAGTGGTTTGAATCTACCAGTGGCTCCATTGGAAAGATGGGCAATCTCCTTCCATATGAACTACAGTTTCAGAAAACCCTCTGGGAAGTAGCTATGAGTTCATTCTGACTCAGTGGCAAAGAGTGCACGAACTTTTACACTGTAAGTCTCTTGGTAGAATTTAAGAAAAAAAATATACTGTATTAATTTATGTAGGTTATTTGTGTATTTAAAGTTCCAGATTTCTAAGAAATATCTAATTATGTGGATATACTGGTGAGTTAAGTCTATCAGTAGACATATGGAAAGCATTTAGAACTGGGAAGAGAAAATACGGCAAAATATAAAGAATAAAACAGAATAGAAAATATGATAGCTAAAAAAATCCCTTGAGAATCACCCCTTAACATCATTTAAGGTGTGCCATGTTTATATCTACTTCTAAGAAAATAGAACCAATACATTTTATTCATTAAATTGACCTCTCCCCTCCCCT